CAACTGTGGGTATCATTCCACATAATGTAACACCTCATTTTTTTGAGGGAGGTTTTCTTATTGAGCCTAGACTTAGCCAATTTAGACTGGCTAGCCTGGCACCTCTCTGTGACCTCATAATTAATTTTGGGACGGACCTTTAGGAAGGCAGTATTTTTAAAGGAATCCAGTGCCTTGGGGAGATGCTCCATTCTTTGCTTGGAAGTTTGAGTGTCATTAAAGTGATTTTAACTTTGGGCAGCAGCTGGATACTGGCTTTTGGGGGAATCATTTCATCTCTGGGGACGTTTAGGAACTATGCTTTCTGTAAGACTGTGGGCAGCACATGAGTCACCTGTCTTAGTTTCCTGCAAACATGGCTGAAGTTCAGAGGCTGATACTGGGTTCTGGGACAGTGATGGGGTGAGCACACACAAGGTGGTACTTAGTACTCCTTGGCCAGGCAGTGGCAGTTTGGGTATGCAGTGGCTTTGTGGTAAATGTTGTTTTCTGTCCTTTCCAGGCTTTGTATCCTGTTTTGGAGCCCAGATTCGGAAAGTAAGTGCTAAGCCTTTGTGTTCTGTGCCCTGGATTTAAAAATAGGAAACTATTTTGTTGCTCCTCAAATAAGTTAAGCTGTCTTGAATAGCATGGCGGTTTGAATAAGAGTGGCTCTCATAGGCACCCATAGTTGAATGTTTGGTTCCCTGTTAGTGTAATTGTTTAGGAAGGATTGTGAGGTATGGCCTTCTTGGAGGAGGTGTAGCACTGGAGGTAGGCTTTGAGGTTGCAAAAGCCAATGCCAGGCCAAGTCTTTTAGCCTCCATCTTGGACTCCATCTTGGATAAGGTGTGAGCTCTTAACTACTGACAGCATCATGCCTGCTCACCATAACAATCACTGACTAACTCTTTGAAAGTGTAAGCAAGGCCCCCAATTCATTGCTTCATTTTGTAACTTGGTGTGGTCAGGGTTCCCAGCAATAGAACAGTCACTAAGAGAAGTGGGCTGTTTTCACCTGGGTTGAAAACAGCTTCCAGGTTCTTCCTTTGTGTCTAGCTGTATTTAGTAGAGTTGTTGGCCCTGTCTCCTCTGTGGCAACCAGCCAAGCCATGGACACTGCCTGGATGTTTTAAGGAAGATGTAGGTCAGCTGCAAAGACAACAGTAGCCAGGCTACGCATTTCAGGAGGCTTTGCTCCCGTCATGACTACTCCAACCAGGAGGCCATGGATGTATCAGCCTCACTGAACAGCAGGTGACCCTCATCCTGCAGCTGTTCTCACTCTGGCCCATGGAGAAGACAGGATTTCCTCTGGAGACTCAACAGAAAGCCTGCTCTTCTTATGTGAGGCCAGTGATTGCTGGAATTGGAGACGGTGGTGACTGACAGGGATTTTAAGATTACCACAACACAGCCATGCCACGTTCCTTTTATAGTAATATAAGCTACTATTTGATTACATGGGAGGATCGCTCCTGTGTTAGAAAGTTGGGTACGATAAAAGCTCTCTCCTGAATGGGCTGTTTGTCTGCTTGTGGACTCTTATCATGAGCAAAGCAAGCTGGGAGTTGTGACCCCATGGTTTCCAGATTCAGCAGCAGCAGTGATGGGAACAGCAATAGAACAGTCACTAAGAGAAGTGGGCTGTTTTCACCTAGGTTGAAAACAGCTTCTAGGTTCTTCCTTTGTGTCTAGCTGTATTTAGTAGAGTTGTTGGCCCTGTCTCCTCTGTCCTTCTTATGTGAGGCCAGTGATTGCTGGAATTGGAGACGGTGGTGACTGACAGGGATTTTAAGATTACCACAACACAGCCATGCCACGTTCCTTTTATAGTAATATAAGCTACTATTTGATTACATGGGAGGATCGCTCCTGTGTTAGAAAGTTGGGTACGATAAAAGCTCTCTCCTGAATGGGCTGTTTGTCTGCTTGTGGACTCTTATCATGAGCAAAGCAAGCTGGGAGTTGTGACCCCATGGTTTCCAGATTCAGCAGCAGCAGTGATGGGAACAGCTACTATCCCAGATGCCCATTACTAGCAGGGAGAGTCTCAGTGTCCTTTTTGGTTGGTGTGATAAAAATCCCCCACAAAATCAACTTAGGAGACAAAGGGTTTATTTTAGTTCAGCATCCCAGGTTTGTAGCTGTAGAGAAGCCACAGCAGTGAAAGCTCAAAGCAACTAGTCATATCCCTAGTCAAGAGTAGAGAGAAAAAAACAAACATACGCTTACTGCTCAGCTTGCTTTTTCTTTTATATCCAGTCTACAACCTGAAGCCCTGGGAATGGTGTCACCCACAGTGTGCAGTCACAAAACAATCAAAATGCTCCTTCACAGACATGCCCACAGAACAATCTTATCTAGACAATTTTTCTTTGAGATTCTCTTCTTTGGTGACTCTTGGTTACGTTAAAACTAACCATCATGGGATTGGAGAGAGGTGGGGTATTCTGATACTCAAAGCTCAGAACTTGAAACAATAAAGAAAGTCATAGAGTTCCACTTAGAGCTAAGAGTCACTTACCTGAGGCTCCGAGCTGTAACGCAGATCTGGGAGAAGGCTTGAGTTCTGAAGATGGACTGATGTCAGAAACTTCAACAAGCTAATGGAGAAGCTGAGTCCAGAAGCTCAGAAGCTGCAAGAGCTGAAAGGCAGCAGCTTAGACTGCAAAGACTGCAAACCGTGGACTCTGACAGGGTTTGAGAGAGTTTCCAAGGGCTGCAAACATGACTGTTGATGGAGGAGGGGGCCCAAAGTTGCTAGTTACCTCTTGATTCCCCCATCATGTAATGCTATTCCCACTCCCAGCCCTAGATAACAATGGCAAGAAATACTGGCTTTATTTCTTTCAGCATCACTAATTGTAAAAGATACCCTTGTTGGGCCATGAAGTTATGTGCTCAATCTGGAAATTCATAGCATTTAGAGTATTGGTATTTCCTTTCTGAGGAGCAGAAGACATTTAGATGAGTCAAACAAACAGTGGCTTCTGAGTGGGGTGATCTCCTATGCATACCTCACATTCTTGCATTATATTCTGTATTCAGCAGACTGGCCAGTGTCAGCAGATATGTTTGTTCAGGGGAAGCTGTCCAGGTTTGTGGGTTCAGACAGGGCATGGTACTGCTCTCAAATATGACAGCTTTAACAAATGAGAGAACAGGCACCTGACCACCGTGCCAAAAGACCAGAGCCTGTGCCCCCTGCCTGTAATAGCCAGATTTCTTGGTATCCATTCACAAAATAAGAAAGTCTTCTCTGGCTTCTGTACACCCACAGAGGGCCTCCACATTCAGGAAACAGGGTGAGGTGCACTAGAACAGCCACACAGATAAGTGCAAATCATCATCTCAACTCAGAACCAACTGTTTTGCCTCAAAGCACAGACTCCATTTGTTCTTCGAACCAAATGTTTATAAATATTTGTCACACACCATGTAGGCTTCATTGAGCATAAGCCAAATTTGGGGAAATAGTTGAAGAATTGCTCATCAACATTGTCACTACCATACTTTTTGACAGAAAATTTATTGTCTTGACTTGAGACAAAGGCAACATTTTTACCCAGACTGGTGAAGGCAGACATTTGAGGTAGACACTTGTTAAGAGTGGGTTGTACCAAGGAAGGACCACAGAAACTTAAAGGAACATGGAGGGGTTTTGTTTCTGTTCTTTAAAATATGTTAGGAGATAAAGTCCCATGCTAAACCTGAAGAGAATGCTGTCGAGTCACTGAAAGTACTTCCCTGGAAGAGTTACAGCAAGACCACAGTGTTGGCACATTTCGCTGGCCCTGCACCGTGTGCAGCAAGAATCCACAGCTCCCTCTGCACTTGCTGGGAAAGCATCTTACTGAGAATATGCCAAAGAATCAGGACATAATTCTTCAATTATTTGGGATTCTGCTCTTAATTTTAAAGTTTATTCTTATGGTAATCATAGTCTTCTAATTATTGAACTTTAACAGTAAGTTTCGGACACTTCTACTGCATATTCTGATCAGTGATGGAAAATTCACATTACATTTAGAAAAGAGATTGTGCCTTTTAGTATCTCCATTTCAGAGTATTGAGATAAGTAATTACAAAATATATGTAGTATCCTATACATAGCATTATGTGGGGAATATCCACATTTGAATGGACATGACCAAGTTCTCAGTAGTATAGCCAGTTGTCAAATGACTGATGGGAGGATACAATTTAGAAAAAAAGGGACAAGTGAGATACTAAGAACTGCTCTGAAAGGGTGGGTGAAGGGTTCTTGGTGTACCACCATGTCCAGAGGTTGACTTGGAGCATTATGCATTGCAAACCTGTCCCATCATGCTTATTAGCTACACCAGGATTCCATAAATCATGGCTATCCTACTTCAAGTTTAAGTCTGTTATCACTAATCTATGCACCTTGGATTTGATTTGATTTTTTTTTTGGACATGAACTTTTCAGTAACACTTCAAATATAAAAATCTGGGATCAGTAAGAAGATAGTTGCCACCAAGGCCTAGAGAGAAGTCAGCAGAACTGGGTAGAGGCTGTAACAGTGGTGGCTGTGGATTAGCTCACCACTAATAATGTTCCTCCAGGAAGCCATGCTGATGGGATTCCAGAAACATTCTATGTAATTGTCCTAAAAGACTATGCATGCAAATGACAGAGAGACAAGAGAGACAGAGAGACAGAGAGACTCACATGTCAGGTCCACTTGATGTTGTTAAACTGGATTGATTATATCATGATGTAAATGTTTCCTTTCCCTCTTACCATTCCTTCCACCCCTGCTCTCTTCTCTTCCCAAACATCTTCCAAAATCTGTCAATGGAGCCAAGCAAGTTGACTGGCGGTAGTTCAACTAAACAGGTGACTTGCAGGGGCTATCTGGAATGATGTGCCGTTTTAGTGGGGTTTGGTAAAAGGCTATCTCTAAGGGAAGGGGCATGTCTGTCTGTCATGTGGCCTGCATATAGGGCCTCAATTTGTGACCCAATGGTATTATGCTGATCAGCATAATGCAGGGGTGTGGCATCCCTCTGTGGTGGTCCTGAGAAGAAGGCTGCATAGCCCGAGTGGACTTATGGGGACATATTGAACAGAAACAACTGGAAGGCAGTCTGTATCCTTCTCCATTGGTACAGATACAGCTGTGCTGAGCCTGTGTTGAGAAAATAGATACATGGATAAAGTAATATGCTTTTCCTTGCGCTTCTGTGATCATTGATAAGATCCATTTGACAGGGTCCAGAATCACCTAGGAGCCAAGACACTGGGCTCAGGGAGTGTGAGGGAGTTTCTTGATTGGTTGGTTTAACTGAAATGGCAAGTCCCACCTGGATGTAGGCTGAGTACTGAGCTGAAGGCAATGGAGACAGTGAGTTGAGCAACATCATTCATCTCTCCCTGCTCCCTCATTAGAAATAAAATGTGACCAGTTGTCTCCGGCTTTTGCTTCCATGATTCTTTAGAATACAAGACTGAACCCTTGAATTATGAGTGAGAATAAACTCTCTCTTCTTTAAATTGTTTTTGTCAGGTATTTGGCCCCAGCAAAGAAAGT